GACGAGGACTGTAACTCCAGAATACGGAAAACCATCATACGAGCTTTTATTTGAGTTCAGAAAACCGTTAATATTAGAGCTATAGTGGATATAATCATACGGTGTTCGAGTTACAGCAACAAACAGATTAGGTCTTTGGTCACCTGTAACCACAAGTAGTGTGTCAACATGTTGTGTTAAACAATGTGACACTTCTAGCGATAGTAAGTACGCACATATTAGGGCCGTTCAAACATGATGCAGAATATTTATATGCATAGGTCCATACTAAGTGCTGATACAGCGAAATTAATTTATCTTGCCACAGACACTGTTAGGCGAATGACGGAGTAAAATTTATACCGAAAGCTGTATATTTTTGTGAATGAAAATAGAGAGACATTGTCAATAGTTATCAACCTATATACATCATGGAATAAGTAATGATTTCTTGAGCAAATTGTTGTTTTGGGAGATGTATATATAATGAGTACATTTATTTAGGCTGCGCAGCACTGTGAAGTGTGTTTCGCGCCTGATTTCAAACGGGTATAACATGTAACTTTATTGTAATAATCTTTCACAGTTAGTAGCTTCAGATGCAGGATATCATTCAGTATCATGTGGTATAGGGTAACATTATAGGAACTCAATGTGCGCCTCTCTGGTTGCTCGGCAAACATCGATGCGATAGTCCAGTTCGGTCCAGACGCTCTGCAGCATATCTGGTGTTATCATGGGAACTGCTTCAGTGATCGTAATTTTCAGCTCTTCCAGGGTTGCAGGAAGTGGTGGTACGTAAACTGTGCTCTTCACGTACCTCCAAAGAAGGAAGTCACAGTTAAGTCCGGTGACCTCGCAGGCCACTTGGACAAATACCTAAAGTTAATGATCTATAAGCAGGGCCTTGGTACATTGGACTGCGTGCGGCCAGCAGTAACAGCCTGGTTGATCAGTCGCTGACCCAACGGGAGGCCTGGTCGAGGGCCGGGCCGCAGAGGCGTTGACCCCCGGAACGACCTCTAGGTAGACTCCTACTCGTCAGTTTGTTACCTCAGTTACCAGGTACTGATCACCTCATCACTAGCAACTTTATCATTACATTCAATATATGAATTTGGGCGCCTGCGATGTGTCAGCAACAGACGAGAATAAAAAAATTGATTAGTAGCAGCAGTAAAAATAAAAATTTGATGCTGAAAAGGTTTCTTCTAACTAGATAAGGTAATACTGGACAATAAGCCATCAGCTTGTATACTTAAGTTATAATGTGGTAGTGTGTGGTTGAAGTACAAGGAAACAACGTGAAAGGATACGTTACTTTTGTTGGTGGTATTTTATTGGGAGAAATGGAAAATTTCTCCGGATGTTGGTTAGGTTATGTAATATGTAATGACCAGCTCACTGGAACTTTTGATATTACAGATTCCTGCACACAGTGTAAAAAAATATATCAACATATTTTAATACCCTAAAAGGATAATGAGTGTGGATGGTAGATCATGGTATTGAATATGACATTGTGTATATGGACTTCAGTAAGGCTTTCGACAGAGTTCCACATCAGAGGCTATTGAGAAAACTTAAGGCACACGGAACAGGAGGAGAAATTTTTTCCTGGGTTGAAGCATGGTTGACGAATAGGCAGCAGAGTGTTTGTATAAATGGGGAGAAATCAGAATGGGGGCACGTCACAAGCGGTGTTCCACAGGGGTCAGTGTTGGGTCCGTTGTTGTTCACAATTTATATAAACGACATAGATGAGGGAATAAACAGCGACATAAGCAAATTTGTTGACACCAAAATAGGCCATCCAATTCATTCTAATGAGGACAATAGAGCATTCCAGGATGATTTGAATAGACTGATGCAGTGGTCGTAGAGGTGGCAGATGCAGTTTAGTATAGACAAATGCAAAGTTCTAAATATTGGACAGGAAAATAACCATGCCACATATAAACTAAATAACGTAGATCTTAATATTACGGATTGCGAAAAGGATTTAGGAGTTCTGGTTAGTAGTAATCTAAAACCACGACAACAGTGCATTAGTGTTCGCAGTAAAGCTAACAGAATCCTTGGCTTCACAGCAAGAAGTACAAATAATAGAAGTCCTAAGGTTGTTCTTCAACTTTATATATCCTTGGTTAGGCCTCATTTAGATTATGCTGCACAGTTTTGATCACCGTATTACAGAATGGATATAAATGCACTGAAAAACGTACAAAGGAGGATGACAAAGTTGATGCCATGTATCAGAAATCTTCCCTATGAGGATAGACTGAGGGCCCTGAATCTGCACTCTCTAGAAAGGCGTAGAATTAGGGAGGATATGACTGAGGTGTATAACTGGAAAACAGTAATTTATAAAGAGATGTAAATAGCGTGCTAAAAATATCTAACGTCGACAGGACTCGCAGCAATGGTTTTAAATTGAAAAAAAATCAAGATTCAGGAAGGATGAGTGGAACAAATTCCCGAGTACCGTCATAGACGCTAAGACGTTGTGTAGTTTTAAAAATAGATTGGATAAATACACGAGTGGGTGTGGGTGGGTGGGTGTGAGTTGGACCTCACTAGCTTGTGCTACTAGGTCGGATGCACTGCTCCTCCCTTAAGTGAAGTGTCTGATCTCACTAGGTCAAGGCACTGGCTTAAGCCGGCGGGAGAAATGGAGCTGCATCGCATAGGCCAGTAGACCTGCTGCAGTGTTCCTTCTTTCTTATGTTCTTTTGTACCAGCTATTAGATTCTAAGCTGATGGTATAGAAAACCCAAGACAGACAGAAAACGGGGACCGACTTGATGCTGGGTTAAGGATCCAAGGATTTAGAGCTACCCTTCTTTTCCACGGATCAAACAAGATTCCTTCAAACTCCCCAAGTGCTCTATGATCCTTACAAGCTTATTGCCTCCCCACGAATATAATAATTACATATTGCCAAGACAAAAGTGGTGTTGTCGGACTATTAAATTGTCACACTGATCACTACAGTACAATGTAACTTTTATTAAAGCTTTTCACAGCTCATTCTCGCATTAATAATGAAAGCTTTCTATTTTGTCTCACCTACTTCATTGTTTGATGTAAATTACTTAATTATGGGTAAAAGAGTGTTTTTACAGGTTTATAATTTAACCTAATCTTACCAGTTGGAAAAATTGAAAACGTTAAAAAATTTACGTTGAGCAAAATATCGAATACCGGCGTTTCAGAATGTTGTGGTTTTCAGACTAACTAAAGAAATAAACGACTTTACTATCACCGCCTTCGGCTCACAACCGAAGGACCCAGATTCAGTCGTGTAAGTCTACATCTGCTACTCTTTTTCACCCAGCAGCAAAATAAGTATGTGGGTGTTAGTCGACTGGTGTGTTTTGTTTATATTGGGTGGTAGTAAGCCATAGATAGGATCTGCTTTAAAATGACTTGGGATGGGATTACTTGTCTTAGTTTGCCAATTCGGTAATGTTAAAAAAAACAAGTGCTACACTAGAAAAACTGGAGGATTTGCATTTATTTGCTAAAACTCTGAGAAAAATATTAAAACTGGCGATGGAGTACGTGCTAGTGGGCGGACAGGCAATATGATGTGACGCAGTGCCACATTGTACAGAGAACTCTGTTATTAACAAACATTTTACAACAGTTGGCGAATCCGCTCCGGGAAACTCTTTGGTGTCGATCGATTGGGAATTTGTGTTCGGCACAGAGGTGGAAAGTTCAGTCAAACAGTGGTGCACTGAAAAAAAATTCTGCCTGGGGTAAAGGAAGATATAATGATAAAACACAGATAATAAAAGCAGGAAATGCACTGGTGGAACTATAAGAACATGAACTACTAATATTGCCTCGCCTTACTCCCCTTTCTGTTGTTCCACTACTATTGCTTCTACTACTACCACATCCAGCAGTACCACTACTTCTCCAATTTCTTTTTTCGTCTTCACTTTGTCCCGTCCCTGTTCTCCTCTCCTTTACATACTGGCTCCATTTCCTTCGTATGTTAGTGTGACTAGTGAATGGTACATGTCGGACCGAAACGCCGTCAAAAGCTTCTTTCCTCTAGCACGGGTTATTTGTGTATATATCCTAGATAATAAGTATGGGCGCCTAGCCGAAGCTCGGCGGTATATCCAATACCACGCAGCACCTTGCCTCACCTTCGTCTATATTTAATCTTCACTCCATTATTTTGCTTCAGCTTCACAAGGTTGAAACTTTTAACCTACACAGTAGGTTCCTTTAGTCAAATACAGAGGCAGCGTATGATAAGGCCAACGACCTTGGAGAAACAGGTTGACGGACTGATTACATCATCTATGCTACCACACCTGCTACCTGTGTATTCGACTGAAGAAGCCTACTGTGCAGGTGAAACGTTTCGATCAACAAGATACCCAACTGTTGCGCATGTGTCTTCAACTTGTCGTTATTATATACCATTCACAGCATGACTTGACCATACAGCTGTGCATCCAGAAACACAACAAACCAGGTATATTTTGTTTAAACTCGGTGGATTATTAAAGACCTAGTGACATTCTAAAATATAAAAATAATGAAAAAAAAATCGTCTGATATTACACCAGAAGTCTAGGTCCACTGAAAAAACTTTACAAGCTCCCCATATTTCCTAATGGTTTACTATACCTGATTGGCTTAGTGAGCCATCAGGGTGATGTAATTTCTAAAATATGCAAAATCGGGTTAGTTAATTTTATGTATTTAACTCTATTTGTTCCAGTGGGTGCAGACCTTTGAGACTGCCCGCTCATTCCATTATATACATTATTTGAGATAAACATGTTTGGACCGAAACACAGATATATACAATATATATATTTCCAACTTGGTCAGTTCTACTAAAAAAGAGTCTCTAAGGACGAATTGTACATATCATTTTTTTTTCGCAAGACTTGGTTTTCACTTTTCATATTGAATGAGTATTATGATACAATGATTATGTCTGAAATGGTTATACTACTGAAGTAATCTGTAAATCCTGTTGATCTGTCTAGGCAATACCTCTGTTCTGGACGTTTATCGTGCTGGAGGCGCTGGTGGGGAGGATGAAGGGAAAGTCAGCGGGCCGCGTCAATGACAGCCTCACCTCCTTGGGTCATGGTCTCGTCTACGAAACTATCAAGTGAGTTGTCTGATGTAATTCGTTACCAAGTACTTCAACCCTACAATCCTTTATCTCGTTATGTTGCACTTCACTCCTCCAATGAAATTTCGCATTATCTTGTACTGCACTCCTTCAACGATCTATCGCGTTTATCTTGTTCTTTACCCTTACAATGATCTATCTCGCTATCTTGTACTTCAGTCTTTCAATGAGCCCCTGGCTACTTTCAAGAGAGAGCTGGACAGATACCTAAAGTCAGTGCCGGATCAGCCGGGCTGTGGTTCGTACGTTTGACTGCGTGCTGCAAGCAGTAACAGCCTAGTTGATCAGGCCCTGATCCATAGGGAGGCCTGGTCATGGACCGGGCCGCGGGGGCGTTGATCCCCGGAATAACCTCCAGGTAACCTCCAGGTATGATCTATCATATCGTTATCTTGCACTTTACTCCCTCACATGATCTATCTCGCGCTTGACCCCTCCCTTGATCTATCTCGCACTTGACCCCTCCCATGATCTATCTCGTACTTGACCCCTCCCATGATCTATCTCGTACTTGACCCCTACCGTTCATTTCGTACTTGACCCCTACCTACCTGGACTCTACCTGGAGGGTATTCCGAGGATCAACGCCCCCGCGGCCCGATCCACGACCAGGCCTCCCGGTGGACCAGGCATGATCAACCAGGCTGTTACTGCTGGCCGCACGTAGTCCAACATACGAACCACAGCCTGGCTGATCCGGCACCGACTTTAATTGTCTGTCCAGCTCCCTCTTGAAGGCAGCCAGGGGTCTATTGGTAATTCCCCTTATGCCTGGTGGGAGGCTGTTGAACAGTCTTGGGCCCCGGATACTTATTGTGTTTTCTCATAGTGTACCCTATTTTTCATTGGGAGTATTGTGCACCACCTGCACAGTCTTTTGCTTCGTTGGGAGTGATTTGTGTGTGCAGATTAGGGACCATTCCTTCTAGGATTTTCCAAGTGTAGATTATGATCTCTCTCGTCTGCGTTTCAGCGAGTACAAGTCAAGTGCTTCCAAGCGTTCCCAGTAGTTAAGGTGTTTTCCGTTGCCCATTGGAAAAACTTGGTTTATATCTTCTTGGAGGTTAACAGTGTCCTTAATAGATAAGTCTCGTGCAGATCCTAGTATCATCTGCAAACGATGACACGGTGCAGTGGATTACATCTCTGTCTATGTCTGATATGAAGATGAGGAACAGGATGGGGGCGAGTACTGTGCCTTGTGGAATAGAGCTTTTCACTATGGCAGCTTCCGATTTGACTCTGTTTACCACTACTCTGTGCTCGATTGGTTAGAAAGTTGAAGATCCATTTCCCCACTTTGCCAGTTATCCCACTCCCATGATCTATATTGCACTTGACCCCTTCCATGATCTATGTTGCGCTTGACCCCTCCCATGATATATCTAGCTCTTCACCCATCCAGTGATGTATTTTGTTATCACATGATTTTCTCTCATATCCACCATCTGACACCTGTGTTTTTTAAGAGGCATTATATATTCACAAGTGTCTTTACAACCCACTCATTTTTCCCTCTGGTATACATGGATCATCAGACAACAATTCAAGTTACTTTTATGGCTATGACACAAATAAATTCGTCAAAGTACATAAGATATTGTCTCTACCATATTTCTCTCTTCTCCGGTTAGGCTGGTTGACTGAGGTTAAAGCCTGTTGACTATTCAAAATTTACTAAGGCTGCGCGTAATCTGCTCACCACCATATATACACAGACATATACCTCATGATGTGCATATTCTGAATATAAACGACAACATTTCTTATTTCCAGACTCTTAATTAAAATTACAGGTTATTTTTTCTCATAAATCCGGTATCTATGCATTTTTCTACAGCATATAAATTAATTATAAACCAAACACTAAAAAACTCATGAAAACATTTTTTATATTGTGAAAATACCTAAATACATAAAAATGTTGCACCATATATCACTTTCATCCTTATAAGATTTTAATTACTAATGAACCCAGATAAGTACATAAATTACTCAATAAAAGAGGAGAATATAATATAAACCATACAAGCACACTTGTCAGCCAAACTCCTACTTCAAATTGAATAAACCCGATTTTAACATGCATATTGTAAAGGCTTCAATACTTTCTCAGTTACCACAGTGAAACATAACTTAACTATCATAAAAATATTCGTTCATGTTAATTAGTTAAAAATACTGAGGCATATTTAATAACAATTCTTATAATTTACCTCTCACATATATTCCCATATTATATCCCTATATTTACTTACTTACCTTATTTATAAATCGTATAATAAGGAAAATGTATGATGTATTCCATTCCTCCCGTGATCCGCCTCGTTATCTTGTACGTCATCCTTTCCACGATCTACCTCCCTATCTCGTACCCCATCGCTCCCGTGATCTACTTCGTTATCTCGCACTCAGTTTCTCACTTTGAGCTTCCTAGTTATCTGTTACCAATGCTTCATGCAGCCAAGTTTATATCACCGTGAAGGAATGGTTCATATATTTAAGAGGGAGATTATTTCCCAGTAAAAGTAGGTCTTAGACAAGGATGTGTGATGTCACAGTGGGTGTTCAATATATTTATAGATGGGGTTGTAAGAGAAGTGAATACGAGGGTCTTGGCAAGAGGTGTGGAGTTAAAAGATAAAGACTCTGACACAAAGTGGGAGTTGTCACAGTTATTTTCTGATGACACTGTGCTCTTGGGAGATTCTGAAGAGAAGTTCCAGAGGTTGGTGGATGAATTTGGTAGGGTATGTAAAAGATGAAAATTAAAAGTGAATGCAGGAAAGAGTAAGGTTATGAGGATGACAAAAAGATTAGGTGACGAAAGATTGGATATAAGATTGGAGGGAGAGAGCATGGAGGAGGTGAATGCATTTAGTTATTTGGGAGTGGACGTGTCAGCGGATGGGTTGATGAAAGATGAGGTTAATCATAGAACTGATGAGGGGAAAAGTGTGAGCGGTGCACTTAGGAGTCTGTGGAGACAAGAACTTTGTCCTTGGAAGCAAAGAGGGGAATGTATGAGAGTATAGCTTTACCAACGCTCTTATATGGGAGTGAAGCATGGGTGATTAATGTTGCAGCGAGGAGAAGGCTGGAGGTAGTGGAGATGTCATGTCTGAGGGCAATGTGTGATGTGAATATAATGCAGAGAATTCGTAGTTTGGAAGTTAGGAGGAGGTGCGGGATTACCAAAACTGTTGTCCAGAGGGCTGAGGAAGGGTTGTTGAGGTGGTTCGGACATGTAGAGAGAATGGATCGAAACAGAATGACTTCAAGAGTGCATCAGTCTGTAGTGGAAGGAAGGCGGTGTAGAGGTCGGCCTAGGAATGGTTGGAGGGAGGGGGATAGGAGGTTTTGTGTGCGAGGGGCTTGGACTTCCAGCAAGCATGCGTGAGCGTATTTGATAGGAGTGAATGGAGACAAATGGTTTTTAACACTTGACGTACTGTTGGAGTGTTATCAAAGTAACATTTATGAAGGGATTCAGGGAAACCGGCAGGCCGGACTTGAGTCCTGGAGATGGGAAGTACAGTGTCTGCACTCTGAAGGAGGGGTGTTAATGTTGCAGTTTAATAAACTGTAGTGTAAAACACCCCGCTGACAAGGTGGAGTGAATGATGAAAGTTTTTCTTTTTCGGGCCACCCTCCCTTGGTGGGAATCGGCCGATGTGTTAATAAAAAAAAAAATGTCTGGGAAATACGTCACGATTTGTAAAAATGTTGATAGCACTGTTTCTTTGCAACTTAAATATTTTTACGAAATTTATCTCATCTAGGTGATGTAAAATCATAGGAAACTGAAGAATCAATAGTACAGTGGATTAATTTAAATATATAAACAATTATATTTATTTCCCATCTATCACATTTTTTCTGTGTATATTGTACCCCTCCATTCTTATCTCCCTCATCTACCAACTTTCCTACGCTTCACATCCCTCAGGCTGGTGACAAGGGGGTTCGAGTTGTGGGGATACACTTGGCTGTACGAACATCGGCTAATAGACCTGGACTGGTCGTCACCAGTTACCTGGTGGGCTGCTGCCATTGGTGTTGACTTCGCATACTACTGGACTCACCGGGCCACTCACGGTAAGCGCCAAGGTGGTTGTGGGATTTGCTTTTACACGTAAGTCTCAGAGGGTTTTCACTCTTGACCGCTAGTATACCGGTGCTGTTTATCAATCCTGTCTATTTACAAAATAAAATGAGGGTTATATTGCGTTACTGTAGGTGAGCCATCAACAATAGGTTTTTACACAAAGACAATGAGGCCACTGAATACATATTTTATCTTTGAGGAGAAATAAGTTTGCTTCGTATTTAATTTTTTACTGAATAATCAATGGTAAAGTATCATGAAGTTTATCTACATTTTATTTGTGCCTTATTTGACTACATATGGCATACACAGTAGATTCTTGTCACATCACGCTCTGCATGGTATGACGAAGAGAGATATATGTATCACTAAGCCATTGCTTTCATATTATTTAAGGTGTGTAGTAGGGTAATCCAGGTTCCAAAGATACTGACTACTGTCACTTTGGCATTTAGATAATGCCACGTCCTTATTTCTGATATTCTGTTTCTCAAGTAAAATCGAGAAAAACAATCTAGTGATGAGCGTCTTAATCATCAGACCAGTCCCTGAGCTGTTCTACCTGTCAACCTTGAATAAAAATAAATATCACATCTTGAAATGTAAGGGGTAGTTTTTCCATTCTATTCGAAAAAGGAATACTACCCTGTAGCTTCCTAGTATCCCCGTGACTTGTCTGGTTCTTAGTGCTGCTGCTGCTGCGTTCGCAATATTCAAGCCATCTCATGATTAACCACCACATTAATAAACACACTATCTTTCTTTGTAACTGGATACGCCACAAGGAAAACTAATTTAAACATTGTTTAAATAAAACACTAATTAACTAACGAGAAACTAACGAAATCCTAACAACACGATTGCAAGCAAATCCCAAAAACCTGCATTAGTAGTTACACTAGGTCCCATACTGATCTTATGGTTTATAGAAATATACGTAGTTGGATGAATCCTATCAGAGACAGCTGGCACAGTGGTTAACACACAGGCCTGTGAGTTTTAGGATTCCCTTGCCATGGGTTTGATACTTACCAGTTCTGTGATAGGTTAAAGCTAATTTACTATGACAAATAACAAAAAAGCATATATGCTAAATCATTAATGCAATGGTTAAATGAAGGCAGCAACGTACTGCAAGAATTGGCACTAGCTTTTATTCCTTACAAGTCGCTTAACAATAAGCAGAAATAACATAACGCCAGAACTCCACACACTAATTAAGGTGGCACTCTATCTTGCCATAATGGATGACAGTAAAACAACACATACGAGCCATGTTAACACCAGAACTACTACCATCCATGCTGACATTAAAACAACACCTACCATCCAGGCTGACATTAAAACAACACCTACCATCCAGGCTGACATTAAAACAACACCTACCATCCAGGCTGACATTAAAACAACACCTACCATCCAGGCTGACATTAAAACAACACCTACCATCCAGGCTGACATTAAAACAACACCTACCATCCATGCTGACATTAAAACAACACCTACTATCCAGGCTGACATTAAACACTTACCATCCATGCTGATAGAACAACACACGCTAATCTTGCTGACATCACAAGCACCAAATGTTATCAAAAATGTGTATGAGGAATTGGTTTACGCTCTGAAGTTGATACATTTAGATTTTTGTTAGTATTTTCACTTGTTGAACAAATTAATTTCTCTCATGTTTCAACTGACATTAATGTTGCATCATATACTAAAACAGTAATTACTTATCGGCCATCAGCTTCTCCAGCAATATTTCATTATGATAAGTAAGTGAAACATTATTTTTTAAATTATTATACTCACATGGAAGTATTAATAACATAGAGGTCATACATCGTCTGGAAAATAGGAAGTAATCAGTTTTATCTAAGGTAGGGAAGGGTAGCTTCGCTTACTTGAATCAAGAGTCAAGTCGGGTTTTCCACCTTCCGCAGAAGTGAACCTGATATGGGCCACCCACCAGGTGCACCATTCTTCAGAGGATTATAACCTGACGACGGCACTGCGCCAGTCCATGTTCCAGCGGCTCTTCGCCCTTGGTTTCCACCAACCTTTGGCTCTCCTGGGCGTTCCACTGCCTGCCATCCTCGTCCACATGCAGTTCAACCTGCTCTTTCAGTTCTGGATCCACACGGAACTGGTTGAGAGCTGTGGGCCCCTCGAGTGGATCATCAACACCCCTTCTCACCATCGCGTCCACCATGGTGATTTTTTTTCCATTTACTGGATTTGTCACGAGACGTGTTTGTTCAGGATAATCATTTTAACTTGCACGGGTATTATAAAAATTACGCTCATATAAAACAAGAATTAATGTTTATTATTGAAATAGCAAGACAACTTCAAGCCTCCTCAGTATATCGTGTCGCACAAATGGACACAAGAGCAATTAATGAGACATTTATTACGACACCATTTCGCTTACCAGGAGCTTCATTAAACCAATACAAACAATATGAGAACACAGAGGGTAAATATAGGAAACAGTGATGTGCGGGAGGTAGGGCATAATCACGAAGTGGTGGGAATAGCAGGAAAAATAGTAGTAGTAGTAGTAGTAGTAGTAGTAGTAGTAGTACTAGTAGTACTAGTAGTAGTACTAGTAGTAGTACTAGTAGTAGTACTAGTAGTAGTACTAGTAGTAATAGTGGTAGTAATAGTGTCAGGTGATACCATGGTCTACCTCACTATTCCTGTTAATATTTCTGACATTCAGAGCTGCCTTTTTTTATAACATAATTTCAAACAAAGATTAAGTCTTCTTCTTTAACCTGTTTTCTGCTGGTTTCCGGTGTCATAATAACTAGCGGCGTCATTATATTTTATTACATTAGCTTGAATACTCCTTTAACGATAGACCCTTCTATCACCTGACAACAACGAATCACTGCTACTGCTACTTTTATTACCACCACTACTAGTACTACTACTAACATTACTACTACTACTACTAATACTGCAACTATTACTACTACTGCCCTCTTCCCTCCATGGTAATCTTTTCATCACTAGACAAGAATACTTTGATCACCAAAATATAGAGATTCAAGAAAACTCAGCGCAAGTTTGTATGGTGAATCAGAGCAAAAAAAAAAGAAAAAAAAAAGAACAACGTGGGCGAGAGGGTAGGTAAGCATGGGCAGGTGTAGGCTGGTTCTCCGGGTGGACACTGGTCAGGGTCTTTTCCATGCAGTGACCCGGCGAAGCATGGACAGGTAAGTGGGAAGGGGTTGAGGGTCAGTGGGGATTCTGTCTTTAGCTCTCGTCTGTATGATGAATGGTTTTGAAAACCGACAAGTTGAAGAACTGAGGCACTTATACAACATATGGGAATCTTTACTGAAGAAACATTTCGCCACACAGTGGCGATTCCAGGCTGAGGGACTGATTACCTCAATCTCCTCCTCTCCTTACCCATTTCTACTTTGTATTGGACTGATGAAGCCATTGTGTGGCGAAACGTTTCTTCAATAAAGATTCCCATATGTTGCATAAGTGTCTCAATTCTTCAGCTCTCGTCTGTACGACTCATAGGTATGGCTCAGAGGTAATGATAGAGTTCGTTCGTACAGTTCGTAGGCGGGTACCTCCCGGAGGGTGGTACGCTAGGATCCTGGATTTCCTCACCTCTTTCCTAAAGAGTAGAAGAGATGGGAAGACTCAAGCTTTTGCTCTCCTTCATTCAAGCTGCTGCTCTAGGCTCACCGATCATTTGTTTAAACTAAGCTCAGCAATGCACGTTGTTGAGATATCTTTTGGGCTGACAGACATCTACCAAAACTGAGTAAACAATGTAAATATCATTGCCGAGGGAATATATCTGTGATAGCCTTTCAAACCTCTCACCACTGGTTAATGTTTTGTCTCCAAAACTTAAAACACAAGAATAACATCTGTCGGCTGCTTATGACCACGTAGACCGTGTGAACATGCTATCAGTCTACAATAATGAGGCTTTCTGTAATAAAGTTGGTAGAATTACCGGCAATATGTAAAGTAAAAGGACACAAGTGCAACTAATGTGACATTTTATTGTGGCAACGTTTCACTCTCCAGGAGCTATTTCAAACCGTTGAACGGCTTGATAAAGCTCCTGGAGAGCGAAATGTTGCCACAATAAAATGCCACATTAGTTGCACTTGTGTCCTTTTACTTTACAATAAGGCTTTCTGTTTTCTTCCCTAGGGTCACTGTTTCCTTGGGTCTGACACATGGTGTTTGAGAACAGATACAGTTATGAATAAAGAAAAGACAGCCATCATATCTCAATAGCCTAACTGCATTTTGTTTTACTATTTAATAGTAACTGTTTCTAATTTAAAAAAAAAACAACGTTTTCGTCTGCTGTATATTTTAACACACCTCAAAAAATATTTTTATTAAAAACTAAAATAGGAAAAAACATGAAAGTAAGGAGAGGTGGTAGGGAAAATATGGATAGGCAGGATATGGGAAGACAAGAATAACTTAGACAAGTTTATGAACGTGACCTGTGCATAACTTGGGTATCTTTGCAGTGGAAACGTTTCGCCAGTCAGTGGCTCCTTTAGTGCAATATAGAGAAGAACGGTGCAAGATGGGATATAGTTTGAGGTAATCAGTCTCCCTCAGCCTTGTGTGAATGAGTTCATTTCATTAATATTCATAAAAGTATGTAAGCTGTCTGGGGTATATAAGCACCTCCGCATATGTGGGGAGGTGCTTACATACTGCAGATAGGTGAGGAGTCCGAGAAAGCTAACATCTGGAGTTATTTAGTTAGGGTAGTCGGACTTGAGTTGTAGAGGCAGAAAGAACAGTAACTTCACTCTAGAGGAGCGGCAGCGATGTTGTGTTTGGTAAGTCATTTGAACTGTAATGTCGACTCGCTTCTGGCAAGACAGTGGTTTCATAAATGATGGAATTATTTTTCGGGTCACCATGCTTCGCTGGTTAACGATTTGTTTTTAGGACAAAGTATGGATCCCTCTATCCACCTGACCATCAATTCTCAAACACCAGGCGATCAGCAGTACTGAGCATGTTTTCTCTGGTGCAAGGACATACGTGGTCGTGAGATTAATCAGAGATTAATTTCAACCTCATCCTGTTTGGGATACCAACCTTCACAAACAATATATATATTAATGAAATCACGAAACAAGTGATTTTGAATCATTAACAGAACTGCGGCTGGCCAGGACTATCCTGCGTTCCCATGCTCAGCCCTATGAGAAATGAACAAAGTACGCATCCTTCTATCCACTTGACCATCAGTTCTCAAACACCAGGTGCTCAGCAGTACTGAGTGTGTTTTCTCTGGTGTAAGGACATACGTGGCCAGTTGCAGTTCTGTTAATGATTCAAAATCACTTGTTTCATGATTTCGTTAATATATAGACTGCTCGTGAAGGCTGGTCCCCAAACAGGATGAGGTTGAAATTAGTCTCTGAGGCTCCACGACCACTGATGTCCTTGCATTAGGATAACACGCTCAGTACTGCTGAGCGCCATACATACATACATGCATAGGCAAATAAACACTATAGATTTCTTTTTAATGATAATAAATAATGCTACTCTGAAACTATTGTCTTGGAATTATCTTTTGAATAATTTAAAAAATTGGACCGAGACTACTCTAGGTTAGTTATGTATAATGTAAACAGAGTTATTGAAACAATTCAATTCAATTCAAGTTTATTCTCTATAAGGGTTGCAATGTGGGGTTTACAGGTTTTGGGTATTGTGTGGTTTACATGTTATAAAATACTAATTACAGAGGGGGCCACTAGGACACCTAGCCTGGCTAGGCATTTCGGGCAGACTTAGATTAATTCTTAACATTAAATCCTTACAGATTATGGTATTAAGGCTAAGTGACTACATCATAATTTGTGAGTTTAGCGATGTGAATGCTTTTGTTTTGGCACAATACAAAGTGTCTATATTGGAGTATCATAGGCAAACTTATGACTAGTTAGGATTTATTATTTTAAGATTAAGATTAGTATTTCTGGGTTTATAGTCAGTGGGTGAGCGAGTGTAATTGTGAACCACCAGGTGGTTATCATGTAGTTAGTTGTCGGGGTGGATCAGGGAGATAAGATGTTTTCTAACTGTAGTTTTGAAAGTGATGAATGTGTCTGCAGTTCTAGAGTTTTCAGGTAGGGTGTTCCAGATTTTAGGTCCTTTGAAATACATAGAATTTTTTTAAAGGTTTAGTCGAACACGGGGAATGTCATAGAGATGTTTGTGTCTGGTGTTATGCCTGTGGATCCTGTTACAACTATCAAGAAAGCATTTTAGGTCAAGGTTAATATTGGAATTTAAGGTCCTGTAGATACAGATTGCACAGTAGTAAATGTGGATGTTCTGAACAGGGAGTAAGTTTAGATCTATGAAGAGTGGGGGGGGGTTTGCCAGGGATGGGATTTAGTGATTATTCTTACTGCGGCTTTTTGTTGGGTTATTATTGGCTTTAGGTGTGTTGCTGCAGTTGAACCCCAAGCAATGATCTTTAAACGTTGAAGAGTCCTAGACTGTGTTTTTGGTGCAGATGATTCATTAATACATGTATAAATTACCTTATTAATCTTGTAGGAGCGAACAAGTGGTGCTTGGACAAGAACTACGCTGGAGTCTTCATCATCTGGGACCGCATGTTTGGTACCTTCGAGCCGGAGAGGAAAGGAGAGAAAATTGCCTACGGTCTTGTCGATCAGCCCCAATCTAATAATGTGATTTGGCTGCAGGTAAACTGTTGCAGGCTTGCTGACTGGTGGGATGAATCTTATTGTAGCCAGCTGGCCCAGTGGTTTACGCAATGTCCTAGCGTTTTACAACTCACTAGCCATGGGTTCAAACCCCACCTATACCGTGTTTTTCTCAGTAGGCATCCTACAACAAGCAATCTCTTACATACATTGTCAAACCGTTTCTCAACTTTTACAGGTTAAATAATCACCATCCCATATTACTCTGTTTGCAGGTATACTCTCCCTTGTTAGTTGATAAAACGTAATCTCAAGTCAAGTTAGTATATGATCATGCATGTGTTGGCCTCTTCATTCATGTGCTGAAGGCTGGTACATCAAATGGGGAGCAGAATGACTTTAGCTCTCAGGTTACTACAAAAACGTATGTCCTCTGATCATGAAACAAGCCTGGTTAGGTAGGCTCATGATGCTAGAGGTTAGAGTCGTGAATTTTGACTTGCTTCCCACGAGGTGAGCTAAAATAACACGGGTTTGATTACCAGGCTAGCCGAAGTGTTGTGTTATTTCTTATATATACATACATATTTATATATATATATATTATATATATATTATTAATATTAACACACTGGCCGATTCCCACCAAGGCAGGGTGGCCCGAAAAAGAAAAACTTTCACCATCATTCACTCCATCACTGTCTTGCCAGAAGGGTGCTTTACACTACAGGTTTTAAACTGCAACATTAACACCCCTCCTTCAGAGTGCAGGCACTGTACTTCCCATCTCCAGGACTCAAGTCCGGCCTGCCGGTTTCCCTGAACCCCTTCATAAATGTTACTTTGCTCACACTCCAACAGCACGTCAAGTATTAAAAACCATTTGTCTCCATTCACTCCTATCAAACACGCTCACGCATGCCTGCTGGAAGTCCAAGCCCCTCGCACACAAAACCTCCTTTACCCCTCCCTCCAACCTTTCCTAGGCCGACCCCTACCCCGCCTTCCTTCCACTACAGACTGATACACTCTTGAAGTCACTCTGTTTCGCTCCATTCTCTCTACATGTCCGAACCACCTCAACAACCCTTCCTCAGCCCTCTAGACAACAGTTTTGGTAATCCCGCACCTCCTCCTAACTTCCAAACTACGAATTCTTTGCATTATATTCACACCACACATTGCCCTCAGACATGACATCTCCACTGCCTCCAGCCTTCTCCTCGCTGCAACATTCATCACCCATACTTAAACACCCATATAAGAGCGTTGGTAAAGCTATACTCTCATACATTCCCCTCTTTGCCTCCAAGGACAAAGTTCTTTGTCTCCACAGACTCCTAAGTGCACCGCTCACACTTTTCCCCTCATCAATTCTATGATTCACCTCATCTTTCATAGACCCATCCGCTGACACGTCCACTCCCAAATATCTGAATACATTCACCTCCTCCATACTCTCTCCCTCCAATCTGATATCCAATCTTTCATCACCTAATCTTTTTGTTATCCTCATAACCTTACTCTTTCCTGTATTCACTTTTAATTTTCTTCTTTTGCATACCCTACCAAATTCATCCACCAATCTCTGCAACTTCTCTTCAGAATCTCCCAAGAGCACAGTGTCATCAGCAAAAAGCAACTGTGACAACTTCCACTTTATGTGTGATTCTTTATCTTTTAACTCCACGCCTCTTGCCAAGACCCTCGCATTTACTTCTCTCTCTCTCTCCCTCATATATATATATATATATATATATATATATATATATATATATATATATAGCATTAACATTACTCTGCACACTAATCTGTACAGGGTAGTGTGCAGATTCATTGGAACAGAAGTAAATTTTGTGATTATCTCATAATGCAATAGCGATTGGCATACGTCTCTACCAGAAATTACTAGATCAACAATCTATTGATGCACCTTTATCATTTAACCTGTTTCTGGCTTAGTAACAAATTGTAGTTAGTTAATTATTGTGGGCCAATTATCCAGTACCGCATTATCCTGTATCACACGGGATTAAAACTGGGGAAATAATTACAAATAGAAGCTGGCGAACTTTAATTAAGCAAAAGGATTTGTCTAGCGTGAACAATATTTACAGTCAGAATTAATAATGCTGGAATTAAGCTCCCACGTATCACTAGGGGCATAACTTCAGTAACGTATTGATTATTAGGTGTGCTCACTATTTCTGCACATTATATTTAAACTGTTCTTTCAGCACTTAGAATAATGTACCATCTGGTACGTCACTGTACGGCATTGTACTCAGAAGCACTTGGGTAAGTTATGTATGTGTATGTGTGTGTGTGTGTGTGTGTGTGTGTGTGTGTGTGTGTGTGTGTGTTGTGTGTGTGTGTGTGTGTGTGTGTGTGTGTTTGCAGTGTGCTCGGCAAGACTCGACATACAACGAGACTGTCGAAACAAACAATCCCTAAATTGACAAACTTGTAACAACAGAAATGGAATAAGCACAGCTTGCTTGAGCCATAAAGTGAAAACACCAAAATGCCCAAAGCAGCAGTGAGTAGCACAGTGTCAGGCATAGGAGGCAAAATCGACCCTAAATAGTAACAATCGACATATCCTTCATCCCTTGGAAAAAAAAAGCAAATTACTGAATCTGAGTTTATCAACTTCCAAACCCCGACTACGGCAGAGCGTAGATGCCAGTCAAAACAGGCTGGGTCTAGAGTTAGACTCGGGACTTGAAGTACAGCAAGTGTCACACGACAACCTCAAAAAACATAAAAAACCACTAATCGAACAGTGTTGCACCGAGTATGGCATGTGTGTTTTGGCTCACCTTCGGATACTTTATCAGACAAGGAGTGTAGATAACAAAAGGAGAGGAGAGCTGTGTTCTCCCAGAGTGAAGAGGAAAAGTGATGTCCAACAAGAGAAGGTGAAGTAGCGGCTGCAGGTGTTAGGTCAGAGAACTATACACATATAACCTGCACATAGGAGAAAGAAGCTTTCGGCAGCGTCTTTGTCCTAGTTGGATCATTGATTAGTCAAACTAACACACACGAGAGGAAGCAAATATATGTACAGGAGAGGAGGACAGGGACGAGGCAAGAGAGGAAGAGGAGAAATAATGGTAGAACTAATGCCGGTAGTGTAAGCAGTAATAGAGTAGTAGGAAGGGGGAGTAGTGGAAGTGGCACTATAGACAGAAAGGGGAGTGAAACAAAGAAAAATAATAATAATAAATTATTATTATTATTATAGTAGTAGTAGAATTGGAGAAAGTCAAAGTACAAGAAAAAAGTACACTGGAGGAGAGGTAATGGCCCAAAAGGGGTGGGATAAAAAGCACTAGGGGACAAACACTGAAGGACAGAACACACTTATGCAGAAGAAAGGAAGACAAAGGAAAGGAAAGAAAAGGAGAAGAGGTAATGAGAGGAGGAGGACAAAAAAAATATCAAGTCAAGTCACGAGTGTTTTAAAGTTTGGAGCATTTGACAATGTAATAAAAAAGGAAGGCATTTACAGAGACAAAGCCAGGACCAAGATTCATATCAGGAAAGTTGTGTATAAGGGATGCTTCAACAAGACTGCGTATTTGAAGGATAGAAGACAGGTAGATAGTTCTGGCAGAGGACCAGTCAATAGAATGATATTTTAAATGACAGAAAATAGCATTCCTGGTGTGGGCGAATATAGTTCTTTTGTGTTCTTTAAGACTATCAGAATGAGAGCGGCCAATTTCTCTAAAATATTGGAGAGAACAAGAGGAGCAGGAGACTATGGAAGCATCCTTCTTCCTCTCTTTGTCCTTCCCTGTCCTCCTGTCCCATATATATTGGCTCCCTCACCTTCGTGTGTGTTAGAGCGACTAGTGAATGGTCAAAGTCGTCATAAGTTTCTTTCTCCTATGTGCGGGATATTTGTGCAAGATCAGATGCTCTCCTGTCTTGCCCCGCCTCCCAGAAGGCAAACAAGCGAACAAGCAGTTTAGGAACTCGAACAGCCAATCAAAACTATCGAATCTGCCAGCGCAGAAAGTGTAACTTATGTGGGGCATCCTACCAATAACGTAGCTAAATATCTAAGACAAATAATTCTATAAGGTATGATAATTTCGCTTTAGCTATTAACGAAAATATCAGCTATATAATATTAGATAAAATATTAAAATATTTAACTGCATCAATTTTTCTTGACGTTACAGGCTTCAAACTTTAACTACTGGTGTATCTTAATACAAAGTCTTTTTGCAATTATTTTCGGCTGCGTAGTTGCCAATTTGGACCCCAAACTCTGCAATTTTATCAATTTAGAAATAAATAAAAATTAATTATTTTTTTTACAGAATTGTAGGGAATTTTTAAATAAAATGTTAATGAGAAAAGTATACTGAAAAACAAAAATCTGCGATTTCAAGGTGTTTTTAAGTTTAACGAGAGTAGACTTGTTTTCTGTAACATTCTTAGCAACATTAACGTTTTCATACTCACAAGATTTCGATTATTACTTGACAACGAATTATTGTATGTGCTTCGAATTTTCAACAGTTTTTTAATGAATCTTGGGTAAGATTCATGTGACTGTCTGCTTGCATGGGTGCTTTATGTACGATGATTCCTAGGTCATTCACAAACATTGTTTCCGTGTGCTAGGTAGCAACAGGCATCTCTGATCGATTTCAAAATTTCAACACTGAAGGATACTTCTTAGAATTAGGTTGGTATATTTAAATCTCTAAATGATATATTATTTTACCTTATTGCTTTATTAAGCATTGATGCTGAAGTTCCCTTGATCCAAGGAACTGGACAATCTTCCACTTGGATAGAATTTGAATGCATCCCATTCCACAGGCGCTATTTGACCCCTATAAGTTGAGTGCATTCCTGTGTTTAAAATATAACTATTTTGGACGGCATCAGTCTTTAATGGCTGATGCAATGGATGAAACGTTTCAAGGTTGTATATGTAGAAATTTTGTTGGATCCTGTGCCGCAACTGGGAAATTTTTCTAATCAGCTTTAAGCTTTAAAATTGTTTTCCTAAAAGAAAACAATCTGTTGATATCAAGGGTAAGTTATTATGTGCTAGTTTTATTAATCAAAATAAATGAAGGAAGTATCTTCTGATCAGAAATAAGTCGGTATTTGACGTTAATTATTCAAGGTTAAGTCAACTTAATGTTCTGTGTGCTCTCAAAATCATTGTAAACATTTGTATGTTATGTACACTAATATATAAAACTTTCTTACATACCTACCTACCTACTTACTTTCTCAAACGGGTCAATCTTATTTAGAGAAAAGTTAGGGTTGATTTCGGCATGTTTAGGATCCATATTTTTTAAATTAGTTTATGTTCCATCTCCTTTAGGCAGGGGCCAGTTGCTTGACGTTTTGCCCTGGATTTCCAGTTTCAGGAAAAATATTTAGGATTTTTTATGTTCCCCCTTTTCTCCTGGAATCTGTATGATGCATCCACTCTGAGCTCGAGGTCTCCCTTTTACCTACCCAGTGTGGCCCATCGTTATGTGGAAAGTACGCTGCCTGTTAAAGCTTTGCTCTCCGTCAGTAGTGGCAAAAGAAAGAGCGTCTCTCTCTCGTTGCTTCTGTCGTAGAGATTCGTGAGTGGAGCATATTTCAAGTACCGGGATTTTGTTTATACGGCGATGTATAGACAAATTAAAGCTGAGCAAGCTTCAGCCTATGCAGTCTTGTACGATGTTCACTAAGGAACAGTATAAAATCTTCGCCAACACTAACCGTCTAACACCCGTTTCCAAGAGGGTAGAGAACTGCAGGTCTACTGTTCTCAGCCTTTCGAGAAAGGGTTAAGTTTCGTGTTAGTTATACTATCTTTCACGTATAATTTAAAAGTCACGACTGATTTGGTTTCATTTCTTTTTTTTTTTTTTTGGTTAAGGTTAAATTTGTAGGAGTCTATCATGACAAATCGTTGTTCACTTTTCCAAACCGGTTTATATGCAGGCCTGAACCTTGATTAGGCTGTGGTTATAGTTTGTCTTCGACAGCATTTCGTGCCGAAAAAGGTCCTCATTATGAGAGAAAATACAAGAGAGAACGTCTCTGGTATTACGTCGCCTCTCATGAAGCGGGCAGGCATGAAAATATTGTCAGATTTCACGAACAGGAAGTAATGATATGTCTTATGATATGGTTTAAAATGTCTATGTATAAAAGTTCAGAAACAGGACAATCAACTTATACATGATTTTCCTCCACTTCTCAGTTTTTCTATTTAGTGGAGGTGTTCCGCAAAGCGGCCAGTAAGAGCACCATTGGGGACGTTCTGAGGGCCCTCTTCTACGGGCCCGGCTGGTGTCCTGGGTCTCCTCGCCTGGGGGACCCCGATTCTTTTCCAGACGCGACGGCGTCCAGGATCAAATATAACCCTAAGTTGCCCTTGTGGGAACAGGTGTATGTGACGCTACATTTCCTGATTGTACTCATAGTACAACAGGTGTTGACCTTACAGTTGATGGTAAGTAGTTGTGATATGTATCAATCTCGTCTATGCTATGAATGTCGGGGTTTTCTTCTTCCTATGACTTCACGAGATATTTTACCGTGTATGACCTCACGTACTTTCCTTCTGTGTGTGAGTCCTTAAGTTTCCCTCATTATGTAAGTTCATATGATTTGTATTCCTTCTATAATTTCGCGAGTTTTCTTTCCATTAATGACACTGTGTTTACCTTCAGTCTATGACAATATGATGAACATGACTGATTTCCTTTCATTATCATACAGAATACAGGGTTAGATTAATAATGTGTTATATTTTCTCACTGTCGTTTTGTTTGCGTCATCAAACAATTATCATTTATTATCATTCTATTCCAGAACTATTTAATATCATGTAAACACTGATTACATATATACGGTGAAAACTATTTTCATAAATATAAATGACTTGTTTAACTTTAATATATAATTAACTATGATCTTACCCAAAACGCTGAGTTTAAACAAAAATTTCACTGTCATTCCCCCTATACTCTAAATAATGACTCAATTTTACATAACATATTCGCTGATAATTTCATGACAATAACCTTCAAGTACATTTAAATCAATTTTACTTAGCATATATTTTAGGGATTAAAGTATTCTTGATTGGCAGTGAACGGGTGAGACGCAGCCTTATGATGAATGGTTTAGAAAACCGACAAGTTGAAGAATTGAGACACTTATGCAACACATGGGAATCTTTATTGAAGAAACGTTTCGCCACACAGTGGCTTCATCAGTCCAATACAAAGTAGAAATGGGTAGGGAGAGGAGAAGTTTGAGGTAATCAGTCCCTCAACCTGGAATCGATGTGTTCAGTCCATCACTTTTCTAGGAAATGCAGCATAGGGCCAGAGAGGTGGCTTATATACTGCAGTCAGGTGAGGTGAAGCAGGAGGAGGCGGGATCACAGTGGGACCTGCCACTAGTGTAAGTAGGTCGTCGTCCAAAGGTTGAGCAAGCGTTGAAGTCACATCTGTCAGACACTGCAACATCATGAGATCTTGGTACAAAGACGTCAACGCTTGCCCAACCTTTGGACGACGACCTACTTACACTAGTGGCAGGTCCCACTGTGATCCCACCATCTCCTGCTTCACCTCACCTGACTGCAGTATATAAGCCACCTCTCTGGCCCTATGCTGCATTTCCTAGAAAAGTGATGGACTGAACACATCGATTCGAGGTTGAGGGACTGATTACCTCAAACTTCTCCTCTCCTTACCCATTTCTACTTTGTATTGGACTGATGAAGCCACTGTGTGACGAAACGTTTCTTCAATAAAAATTCCCATGTGTTGCATAAGTGTCTCAATTCTTCAGACGCAGAATTAATTACAACAGTGCAGTGGATATTCTTTGGACTTAATACAACCAAACATTTGTGTTAAAATATGAAAAAATGCTATTTTTTTCTTGTTTGACAGAGTTTCTCCTGGCTGACTGTTCTTGTTTACATCGTCTTCATATTGGCATCTGTTGGTATCATCGGCGCCATGTATGATGGGTGGTGGTGGGCGCCCCTGGCTGAGGCCGCACGCTGTGCCGCCTACGTTGTCTACGCCCGTGCTACACCCGTCACTGCCCTTCCCCTGCTAGACACCGTCCTCCTCACCTACTTTGCCGTCTCTACCCTGGTGTGGGCCTCAGAAAGCCTCACCCTTCTTGGACTTACTGAAAAGACTGCCAAGTTACAGTGACAACTGTCCTTGCATTTGTCTTCGGATTATTGTGTTAGTTATTCGATTTATTTGTATTGGAGTAATCCATTATAAGCATAAATCAAAATTGGACATTAATTTTGCCATCAGTTCGTATGCGATTGTATTTCAGAATTTGCTGCCGAATCAGCTGGTTTACTATACATCCCATAACCAAATTTTACAAGGAATCTTATGCATACATCCGTCAGCATTTCGGAGGGAATTTATAAAAAAAAAATTTTTACTGTATCAAGATTTTTATATACAACTTTGATATTAAAAGTCTTAAGAGAAGGCATATCAACCAAGTTTTCATGGTAAGGAAGAAACAACATATTTTTGGTTGAATAAGGTTGGTTGTCCCTTTTTGGATTGTAAAAAGCATATCCAGCAATTTTAAAAGATTTATCAATTACGTTTCAAGGGTATTTCAGATCATTAACTATTTCACAAATTTTGGATATTTCTTCGCCTATGAACTTTGGACTACAAATATGCAAACCTCTCAAAAACACTGATGAGGAAACAGACAGTTTAACTATCTTGATGTGAAGAATAATAGTGGACATAGGAACAGTTATTTGTAGGTTTTCTGTAAATTTTAAATTTGAATTCCTTATTACCCTTAATAATTAAAACATCTAGAAAAGGCAATTAATTATTTTCCTCAAATTCAACAGTAAAGTTTATAGAATGGGTTAAGCTATTTAATTTAACAAGGATGTGGTTTATATCTACATTCTTAGGCATAAGACAAAATATTATCAACATATCCGAACCATTTAGCACTATTAGGGAGGATTGTGTTAAGCAATCATTTTTCCAAAAAATTCATGTATAGGTTACTAAGAACAGGTGAAAGAGGATTTCCCATTGTCATACCAAACTTCTGAGTATAAAACTTATCATTAAATACAAATTTTGCATCAACAATGCAAAGTTTAATAAATTTAATGATAGTAGGAAGTGGGAATGGTAAATCTTAATTAACAAGTTCTTCAGATAAGAAGACTTCTTCAGATAAGAAGTCACGTTTAAAGATGGGGTCCACCTCTGGTGTAAATTGTGGGACCCACAGCCTCGGAGAAGTGGATAAAAAGGCTTCAAGAAAGAATATTTGGATTTCTTCCTGAAGCCGTTTGAATATTCCACTTCCCCTACCACCCCATCTTTTCATACTTTTTACAAATAGGTATATTTTATTACATAATACGGTACAAAGGATTTAAGAGACATTGTTGATATAAAGATGGCATATACAGCTTAAGGATATATTTTTTTTTTCATTTATGTTAATGTTAAAATTAATAATTTTGTACCAAAAGAATCCTAAAAAAAACTTACCTAACCTTACTATAAAAAGCGCAGTTTAGCCTAATCAACTAAATATATTTTAGATAAGTTTACAATAATTTAATGATAAACAAACACAATGAAATATATTTTTTCTCGATAGGTTCAGAACGATTTTTGCGAAATTATTGTATACACAAATTTTCGCTTGCCTTATACAGCAAGAAGAACGTTGCTATTTAAGCCACAACAGCAAGTTTTACCTAATTGGCACGACATATATATTTTATATTTTTTTTTGTTAACACATCGGCCGTTTCCCACCAAGGCAGGGTGGCCCGAAAAAGAAAAAAAAAGAAAAACTTTCATCATTCACTCCATCAGTGTCTTGCCAGTTATAAAACTGGAACATTAACACCCCTCCTCTTTTATTTTCTACATAACTAATACAGTAAATTTAATATTTTTGTGTTGTGAATTTAGATAATCTTTGACCATAATATATTCTTCTCTTTAGAACAGCAAGAAAGTATCACCAACATGTCTAAAATTCAAGTTGAAGTTCAACAGAACAATTATGATCCCAAGATGTTTGATAATCCCCGGGCACACACACGCCAGGGTGAATAACATGCAAAATCGGTCATTAGTTTCTCTATTCATGATCTGCAAACCTCACACAGGAGAGATGCTTTTTTGACTATGTCCCAAACCTGTTGGCAACAGCAATGGTCTAAGAGAACGACAATTTTTCCATCAAACTGCAACTGCGTTCTTGGACGTTTTTCCATCGCTATCGCCGTGGGGAACCACACTCGCACTTTTACGAATGAACCCCTCACACAGCTTACACTCAGATATCAGGAAAAATGTCTGGTACTCCTGTATAAAGACTTCAGGGTGGCTACAACAGTTTACTATATATTGACGGACAGTCCTGTCTATCAGAGAATATGTTGGTGTACTGACTGACTTCCCACCTCACTGAAAGCCGCACCTTTGATGCTGATTCCGTTTATGACATTTTAACAGACCTACTGCAACAATTATGTGTATCTACTCTCACGAACCCCAATTTTGAACCACTTCTGCACTGTATGATCCATATGGATTTATTACATTTCATTTTTAAGTTGGAGGATGAGGATGAGGATGAGGTGGTGGTGGTGGTGGTGGTGGTGGTGGTGGTGGTGGTGGTGGTGGTGGTGGTGGTGGTGGTGGTGGTGGTGGTGGGTGATGCGTGTTCCCCTGCACTGCAGTATCTAGAGAAAATAAAGGCAACTAGAAGTAATATGACTTGTTCTCACAGCTCTGTGGTTAACTGCTGAGTAACACGAGTAGTTGCGGCAGGAACAGAATTAAGATATAGACATGGTTGTAATTCATCGCTTCCATCCTCTTTTCTCATCCCGGTAAGGGCGAAGTCATATTTTTAATATGATTTCGTGGTATATATTTCCCCTACTAGTAAGCAGTGTTCAGCAAATAGGCTCATGGGGCTTAAGTCCTCTGCTGTGTGTTTCGTGTACCTCCATGTACTCTGTCTCTGTCTCTGTCTCTGTCTCTCTCAATGGTATTAACAAAAAATGAATACCTATAAATTTTCAAGACATGCAACAACTTTGATCTGACGACAGGGGAAGAGCTTGATAGATGAATCATGTGGGAGGAAGAGGCAGGAGTCTATCAGTAACCTCCCTTTAAATGTGCCCTCTAGCTCCTTCACTCACTCACTCCCTCCCTCCCTCCCAAACTCACCCACTTTCTAAATGCCAAGTGTTATATTTATGGTTTTCTCTCATCCTTTATTTATCTACCTCCCTCCTCCTTCATATTTTCTTTCCGTGTTTGCCTTAGTGTATGTCACTCTTCGTAACTGTGTATAATATTATAAACGTGGCAGTCCACTAGTACCTTCCTGTGTAGCAGATTTATTATTAAAAGAAATGAGAAGAATATATAGGGAAGGTTACACCTCACTCCGCACTCGTGAGTGGGTATGGGACGTGTCAAGCAGTGGGTTGGAGAGAAGACAGGTCCTGAAGTGAAGCTAAAAATTTTGGTAGGAAGTTCCTTTGTGCTATGTAATCCCTGATGTGTTAATGTTCTGTGTTAGATTGGACTCTGAAATGTTCTTAAGGGCGAATTTTAAAGTGATGTCTGGTTTCCATTGTCTCTGAGATGTTGAAATTGGGAGTGGTAGCTATGAGGGCAGAGTCTATGATTTTACGTTAACAGCTGCAGTGTGATTTGTACTTGATGTTGGCAGCTTCCCAATGAATATTGTGACTGTTGATGCTGGCATGCTGGAAAATGACTGAATTATCTTGTGCATAATGTATTGCTCTCTGGTGTTCAATGATACTTTTAAATAGCATTCGGCCTGTCTGCACTATGTAAACTTGGTTTCAATTTTTATATTGTATCTGGTAAACTCGTGGTGTGTCTTGCGATACTGAAAGTTTGTGTTTCTTAGAGAAAAGATTCCCTAGTTTGCTGTTATAGAACATGATTATGTTGGTTACTTTGCTGAGACGATTAAATGTACCTTGGTGGTAGTATACAACGAGTTAAGATTTACTATATGGTTTTGAGTTTCTGTTAATTAAGGCTTTGTAATAGTTGATGTTTGCTGTCTCTTCCCCTTGTTTAATAAACCAGTCTATGTATCCTAATTTGAAGAATCATGGTCTAAGGATTTCTTTTTCTTGGTCCAACTCTGAGGGGCTGCATATTCAGAGTGCACGTAAGAACAGCCTTCAGATGGTGCTCTTCTTAATGTGGACTGAATGGTGGCTGTAGGTGTAGGCTGTAGGAATGAAGGTTGTTTGTTTCCCATTCAACTCTGAATTGCATAGAGGGAACAAGATGGTTAAGATTCTTAACGTGTCAAAGCTGCCGCAATTCTCGTCTCATATGGTAAAGACATCAACGTACCTCTACCAGATCATATCTGGTGGTTTGATGCTGGTAAGGATGTTAGTTTCATAGTATTCCATGTATTGATGAGCGGGTACGGGACAGAGTGGACTTCCCATGCTGCAGCCACATTTTTCTGTTTGAAGAATTCATTATTGAAAGAGAAAAGATTGGTAGTGACATTTTTGTAAGGGCTAAGATTTTCTTGATGGAAATTGGGAATTCCTTATGATGTGCAAGCAATTTGGTGAAGAGGAAATTCAGAACATCATCGACTGGTACTCTGGTGAACAAGGAGTCCCCATCCAAACTGAACATCCTTTTGTTCTGCTAGTTGATATTTATAGTTTTTCTAATGAAATTTTCTGATTGTATCAAATGTGACTGGGAAAACTTGCCGAGGAAAGGTAATAGACCGCTTAGCCATTTAGCTAATTTGTACGAAAATTACCCTCTACTAGAAATGATAGGTCTTAATAGTACACCTGGGTTTTGGGTAAACAAAAATAAGGGAGACTTAGGTTTTTTGTTGTGATCTGGAGTAAAATGTCATTGTTCTTTTTATTTCCAATGGCTCGTACTTCTGGTGATATTTCCATCACCAGAAATAACGATCAACTTGGATTTTCAGTTCAAAAGAAGCCCACTCACATTGTCAACTATGTTCACTTCTACAATCACCATTCAATCTAGATTAAGAAAATCACCATCTCAAACTTGTTCTTATGTGCACTCAGGATATGAAGCCCTCAAAGTTGGACCAAGAAAAAGAAATCCTTTGAACACAATTTTCCAAATTAGGATACCCAGACTGGTGTAGTAAACAAGAAAAAAAGAAAGCAAACATCACCTATTACAAAACTCAACCCCATCCAGCAAATCTCAACTCATGGTACCCGACCACCAAGATACACTCAGTCGTCTCAAAGTGACCAACATAATCACGTTCTATAAAAAAAAAAATCAGGGAATCTCTTTCCCAAGAAACACAATCAGCAACGCAAGACACACCAGGAGTTTACCAGATACCATGTAAAGATTACAACCAAGCATACACAGGGCAGACAGGACGAACACTGTCCACAAGGATCATCGAACACCAGAGCGCAATACGTTATGTACAGGACAATTCAATCATTTTTCAACATGACAGCATCAACCATCACAAAATTCAATGCGAAACTGCCGTCATGAAACACAAATCACACTGGAGCTACAAGCGCAAAAATCATAGAATCTGCCCTTATAGCTATCACTCCCAATTTCAACATCTCACAGGGACAAAGGAAACCAGATGTCATTTCAAAATTCGCCCTCGAGAAGTACATACCAGCGCCCAGTCTAACAACGTCAGCACAACATAAAGAATTACATAGCACAAAGGAACCCACTCACGCGTACGGAGGCGAAACCTTAACTACATAATCCGGTTCTCAT